CTCATGCTCTCTGTCTCTCATTCTCTCTCTCTCAAATAAATAAATAAAATCTTTAAAAAAAAAAAAAAAGATGAGGTTCCTAGGGGCGCCTGGGTGGCTCAGTCGATTAAGCGTCTGCCTTCGGCTCAGGTCATGATCCCGGGGTCCTGAGATCAAGTCCGGCGTTGGGCTCCCTGCTCTGCGGGGAGCCTGCTTCTCCCTCTCCCACTGCTGCTCCCCCTTACTTGTGCTTGCTCTCTCTTTCTCTCTCTCAAATAAATAAATAAAATCTTTAAAACAATGAAGATGAGGTTCCTAGAATCAAAGATGAAGTAACTTGTCCTTGGCAAGTGGCCAATATGTGGGGGACAGGGCCTTTGACCCCCAGTCTTCAGATTCCAAGTACCACATTGGCTTTACCACCTCCTCTCACTCTCCTCCCTACACATTTTAATCCCTATCTAGTAGTGAAAGGCATTCCTACCCAGAAAGAAGTTGTACTGTATCTAGTTGTGGAAGAATGTTTCAGAATTGTAAAAATGAAAGTTAAGCTGTTACTCTGTTGAAATTATTTATGCTTCCTACTTCTATTTCTAGCTTGAACAGTTTCGGACCCTGCTTTTCACTTCAGAGGGGGAGAAAGAGAAAAGAATGGTGGACAATTTCCGCCCCCTTCAGCCCCTAATGAATCGCACTGTCCGCTCTTCCTTCCGTCATGATTATGTACTGAATATACAAGCGAAACCCCAGCCTTCAACTAGCCAAGTGACCCCCTAAGGTGCTCATCTCTAAGCAGTACTTTGCTTTAATAAATACTAGCTTTTTAAAAATTGCTAACTGGACTATTCTAAACACCTGCATTTAATAATAATTATAGATATGCATTTCTTGGTGTGGCAGTGCTTTGTCAGTCTTTGAGGAAAGCTCTTTGGTAAACGAGTTCTTAATTTTATTGATAATGACATCTAACGCTGAAGTAGCAGCACAAGACGGGAGTTTCTCCTTACAGCAACCTGTTGGTAATTGTAATGTCTTTTTATGTCTGATATTTCTGCGCTGCCCTTTTATGTTTATTAGTAGCTCTGTAGAGTTATAAGTAGGGATGGTAATCAAAATATTTAACAACTAGAAAGGCACAGACACCATCCAGAAGGCAGGCCTTTCAGAAACAACCCTAGGGCCCAAACTGGTACTTCCTGGCTCGCTGAACATTGGCCATGGTTTTAGGTATATTTTATTTTAAAACATGAATGTATATTCTTTTATGAGGCCTTCTCAGTATTTGCCCTGATCTTCAGTTGTCATTCCTAGTACATGATATGCTTACTATCAATTTATGGTATAGAAAAAATATTTTGTAGTTCAAAGAAAACAAGATTTTACTTATAACTGGGAATCCTTTTGCACTTCTGAAGATTAGATATATTACTTCAGGACTTGATCATATAGAAAGCATATGCAGAACATTTTAAAGAAAATGCCTGAAGTGCCTAGAATTTAAAATTCTTTCATGACATATTTACAGAAATCTTTTTCGAAAGACTAGTAATATAACAGTCTATAGTTTATAGTGTTATTTTGCATTGTTTGTACACTGTTTCATAAAATATAATGTTTTCCACAATGACAGAACTATCTTGACTTCCCTTGAAAACTGTCTGAACTTTATTTCATTAGTTGAGGTTCTTTGCAAGGCAGGCGCTCAACATAAACTTCCCAATTTAAACAGTGGTTTAGAAGACTTTTGCTACAGTAATAAGGAGAGAAACTTAATGGCTAAAAATCTAGAGAATTCTATATATTCTGAGGAATCCATGCCATTGTTGCCTTTGCTTGTAAATATCTTGGAATGTTTCTAGTTGCCTATAAGCCTGTGTTCAAACTCATATTGCATTTACTAGTAGTATTTCTTTCATTAGTATGCTAATCATCTGATCTGCAAGGTAAGGTTGGATGAGTAGACTTAACACTACTGAACTGTACACTGGAAAAGGTTAAGATGGTAAATTTTATGTGTCTTTTACCACAATTAAAAATAAATAATACGGGCGCCTGGGTGGCTCGGATGGTTAAGCGTCTGCCTTCGGCTCAGGTCATGGTCCCGGAGTCCTGGGATCGAGTCCCGCATCGGGCTCCCTGCTCCTTGGGAGCCTGCTTCTCCCTCTGCCTCTCTCTCTCTCTGTCTCTCATGAATAAATAAATAAAATCTTTAAAAATAAATAAATAAATAAATAAATAAATAATACATTCAGTAGGAAACAAATAAGGTTGGAGTTGTCTGTGTAAGTTTGGGGGGATATCTGCTCTTAAAAAAGGGAGGGGGCGAAAGCATTTGCTTCTAAAATGCACGCCTTCTCTGGGAAGAAAATGAATAAAATTCTTAAAAAGGTAAATGTGGGGGGGGGAAGTTTATGTTAACTGTATATAATTGATCTGTTCAAACCATAGTTACCTTTATTTAAAAGGGTAAACACACAAGACACACATTTTCCAGAGCACATGGGCTTCCCTCCCAGGCCTCTTGCAAACTCCTCATGCAAAATTCTCTTGCAATGAGTCTTCCAAATTGGAGTGAGAACCAATGTACCAATGCCTGATTTGCCCTTAAATCTTAGAGCTACAAAGATGTGTTTATTGGGCGTGTCCCGGTTTGCCACTCATGATTCACTTGCACCTGGTGTTCTGGTGTGATTATTAACAGCATCCTCTCACTCTCAACCATGTCCTGGTTTGCATGATAAATTCTTGGTCACCTTCTCCGTAGAGGTTATGGAAACTGCCTTGGGGATGTGTGGTTCCACCTTAACCATATGATCTCCAAAGGGGTGCTGCAGATTCCGGGGCTACTATACACCCTAACAAGAAACTTTTTGTCTTTTTTGCCTCCAAAAGTGTTTTACTTGTACCTTCCTAAACTTGAAGGGGGAAAATGGGCTTGAGGTCTGTCAGAGGGCTTGAGAAAGAATTTTGTATTAACATTGCTGCTCATCATCATTAAATATTATAATAAAACACTTCCTTTACAATATTAATATTTGTTGAATGGCTTTTTCTTCCTATTAGTTTTTTTTTTTTTTAATATGTACAATATCTCTACAATTAGTGGGACATCCTTTACCATGTAGATCGGAAAGTGACTGGAAAACTCCTAACAGATTTATTAGAAAAGCAGGAAAACAAAAACCACCCACTCCTCAGCTCACCTCTGTCAGATCAGTGCACAATCTGCTGACATTCCAATAGGGCAAGCTGCCAGTCCTTTTCTCCTTTCCAGAGCTACGTGGGCTAGGGTAAAGTTGGCTATTCTAAAAGCAGGCATCCCCCTCAAAAAAACTGGGGAAGATGTCTTTCCCTTGCTCACCGAGGGACACATTTCTTTTGGTGCAGTATTAGCAAAATTACAGTACTGTAATCACTTCAGGTATTTTTCTGTGTCACTAGAAGAACCAACATTATTTACTTGATACCTATTCTACTTAATGTTTTATTGTCCTTTTAATTCAACTTTATTGGTTAAATTCTTTCCTATAAAATGTTACTGAGCAAAAATGGATATAGTTTATTTAAGCGAATAGGCTCTAATTTTAATCATATAATGAGTACATCTAAACAATACTGGCTACTTTACATGTAAATAGTAATGCATTCTTATTAGGAACTGAATGTTTATGGCCCCCCCATTCATATGTTGAAACCTAACCCCCAATGTGATGGTATTAGGAGGTGGGGCCTTTGGGAGGTGATTAGGTCATAAGGGTGGTGCCTCATGATGGGGTTAGTGCCCTTATAAAAGAGACCCCAGAGAGTTCTCTCACTTCTTCAGCCATGTGAGGATACAGCAAGAAGATGGCCATCAAAGAGCCAGTGAGGAAGTTCTCACCAGATACCGAATCTGCTGGCACCTTGATCTTGGACTTCCAGGCTCCAGAACTGTGAGAAATAAATTACTGTTGTTTGTAAGCTCCCCAGTCTATGGTACATTGTTATGGCAGCCCAAACAGACTAAGACACTTGTCATCCCTGTGTACATTCTGATTCCCACTTTTTGAGTTCAACCACTCTTCAGAAATGGTACTTTGGTTTGGGTTCTAGGTGGGGATATCGACTCTGCCAGCATTCCTTCTCAAACCACCAGTAGTTGTGTTGCTTAGCGCTTATCACCAAACAAAAGAATCAAGTAATAAACATTATTGATGCATAGTTCTTTCCTCTTTTTTTTTTTTTTTAAGATTTTATTTATTTGAGAGAGAGAGCAAGAGAGAGCATGAGCTGGGGGTGGGGGGCAGAAGGAGAGAGGGAAGCAGACTCCCCGCTGAGCAGGGAGCCCGATGTGGGGCTCGATCCCAGGACCCCAGGATCATGACCTGAGCTGAAGGCAGACACTTAACCGACTGAGCCACCCAGGCACCCCAGTTCTTTCCTCTTTTAATCAGTTGTATAAATATAGATTTGCATGTACTTTTCATATTAATATACATTAAGTATTTTATTTCACTATCTTAGGTAATAACTGTAATCTGGAAAATATATAAAGCCCTTGGTATAGCAATGACAGTTGGAGAGGACTTGAGACCCCACAGTATGTCCCTGAATAAATCTGGTGACTAATCCTGAAATGAATGGTAGGTGAGAAATGAAATATCCTTTCCTGAGAATTTCTGCACTGACCATTCAATGAATCCTAGTACCATAGTCCTACTAGAGCAAGAAAAAAACCAAGTTAATTCAAAGAGTCCCAGTCTGGCTTTCAGAGAGTAGACATTTTTTTTCTTGCTCTCCCTTTATGCTTGCAATAAATGTGGGATACATTTATGGGTCATTCTTTGGTCATTTTATTTTCTATTTTCTACTGATGATGTAAAATTAAAGTTTAGACATTTTCCCATAGAGGGGGGATAAACTAAAATGTACATACCTGAGAATAAGTAGATGGTATATGTCAGGAACCAAGAAAAATGTTATGTTGCAGAGTAAAGATTACATTGTTCTATTTATTAGGATATCATAGTACAATGTATCTTTGCATTAAAATTTTTTTTATTTTTTATTTTTTAAAGATTTTATTTATTTATTTGACAGAGAAAGACACAGCGAGAGAGGGAATACAAGCAGGGGGAGTGGGAGAGGGAGAAGCAGACTCCCTGCCGAGCAGGGAGCCCAATGCGGGACTCGATCCAGGGACTCCAGGATCATGACCTGAGCCGAAGGCAGTCGCTTAACCAACTGAGCCACCCAGGCGCCCCTACATACTTTATTTTTATCTAATGATTTATTGAATTCAAATGCGGGTAGGTATAATTTGAGGTGAAATTGGCTTTTAGAATAACTTATGTAATGAAGTTAATTTGAGCAGTTCAAGCTTGTTCATGAAAATGAATTCAGTGGTTAATTGTTGAGGATAAATGTCTAATGCCTATAAAAGATTTACATTCATTTGTAAATCATAATAAAATAAAATCTAAGTCTGTATCCTTTTTTAATTGGGAGCATCTTCCTAGAAGGCATTCTTTTTTTTTTTTAGATTTATTTATTTATTTTAGAGAGAGAAAGAGAGAGTGTGTGTGCAGCAGGGGGAGGGCCAGAGGGAGAAAATCCCAAGCAGGCTCCCCGCTGAGTGTGGAGCCCCCAACGTGGGGCTCAGTCTCATAACCCTGAGACCATGACCTGAGCCGAAATCAAGAGTTGGACACTCAACCAAGTGACCCAGGCGCCCTTCCTAGGAGACATTCTTACTTAGTGTTCTGACAGAAAAGTCTGGTCTAACTCATAAGAAATGTTACAGCAACCCAGTCACACTTTCAGAATGGTAGCAATTCTCAATGATTCTCTACGATTTTCCTGGTCACAGGAACCAGCAAAATTGGTGATTTGCACAGCTACAGTTTTTGCCACTCAGGGCATTCTCTAGTCAGGGGCTGTAACTAAGTCTCCACCTTCAAGGAATTTAAAATTTATTGCAAGAAGCAGCTTTGTGAAGGCAACAAAGTATAATATAGTGTGATAGGTGTTACAAAGGTGAAATACTTGTGCTAGGAACATATGCAGGACAAGTACCAACCCACTCTTGAGGAGGTAAGGGAGTTTTCACATCAGTGATGATGATACAACAGCTAACATGTCAGAAACACTGTTGTCAGGCACTATGCCAACATACAGTACGCACTTGGAAACTATTATCACTACCTTGATTTATACAGATGAGAAAACTGAGGACTAGACATTAAGGAGTTTACTCAAGATCAGAGAGCCAAGGCTTGGGTTTCCCTGTCTGTCCAACTTCAAAGTTTATGACACTAATTACTGATGCACTGAGCTGGACAAGGTCAACTTGGAGGTGTATTATTCCAAGTGTCTCTGCAAGAGGGAATAGGGCAAGGCTTTATGCACTTTGGGCGTCTGCTGAATGATTCCAAGGATGGACTAGAAGCAGGGGCAGTTTAGTAATTGGGTACCTCAGTGATTTTGATTTGGAGGAGAGAGGAACAAAGCTAGGCCAGGGAAGTTATCCAATCTTCCTCGAAAGATGGGGATTGTTAATCATTTTGCAGCCGCAGCATGTCCTCAAGAGAAGCATTTTTTGTTCTTGGTCTTGTCTCTGCCCTTGTATATGTACATCACAGTCTGATTATTAGCAGGGCTGGTTTTACTTTCTCAATCCTACTCTCACTGCCCCAGTTTAATTGCTCATCTAGACTGTGATAGTCCAGCTTCGTCCTTTATATTGCAAACCAGAGTAATTTACCTAAAACACAAATATGACAACAAACCTCAACTTAAAAGCTTTTCGATGGTTCCCTGTTGGCTACAGAACATAATTAGAGCCTCTGAGCATGGTTTACTAGGCCCGTCTACATAACCCAGGCCCAGCCCATCTCTACACTGTGTTCCTTGATACTCTGGAACTTCCCTTTAAATTCGATTGCCAAAATTCTTGGGGGTCTGGCCGATTCCACATTGTTTCACTTCTCAGTGCCTTTGCTTATGCCGATTTACCATTCCCACCTGGGAATCTCACCCTTCTCCACCTGGGTAAAGGCTACCTTCCTGCAAAACTCAGGCATCAGTTCTCCCTGAATCCCCGGTGGACTGTTAAGTAAACTACGTTGCCTGTACTATATCATTTTATCTATGCATTGGTCCTTTTCTGCCTCTAGATTGCATATTCCTTGCGAGCAGAGGTTACACGTTCGCAGCCCAAGTGTTGATTTCCCTATAGAGGTGGCAGGTGTGAATGGAAGGGGGCGGACTCTGGAGTTTGTCTGAGGGGCTGATAGGTGGAACCGCAGAAGGAGGAGCCTGGACAAGTAGGGCTGGGAAGCTAGGCGAGTGACTGTGCGTGGGACGAGGTCTCGTGAGTGGATGAGGACAAGAGAGAGAGACAGAGAAGTGTGACTTTAACTTCCAGACACAGGACAGACCACTCTGGTGTGGGGGCAGGTAGTGATAAGGCAATGGGGGAGCGCTAGGAGGGAAAAATTACTTTCAGGGAGGGGTAGGAATTTTCGGGAAGGAGACGTTTATGCAGAGTTTTGGAAGACTAGCCGCCTACCGGAACCTCCAGTCTTCCGTCTTTGTTCCTCCCAGGCGGAGGCGTCCTCCCCTCCGCCCCATTCCCCGCGGCACCTGCGCCTGCGCGTGGCCGCGCCCTTTCTCTTAAACCCGCCTCTTCCGGCCACCTCTGGTCGCGGGGGGGTGCTGTGTGGCGCCCTGGCAAGATGGCGGCGTCCGAGAAGATGATGTTTCCGGAGAAACCAAGGTAAGCTGGGTTGGGGGAGATGAGCCGACGAGAAGAGGGGACGGAGCTTCCCGAGGCTGGACATGGAGGATGTGTAAGCAGGAAGGAAAGGGGAGTTGGGCCAAGCAGGCGAGCCACTGCGGCCACTGGAGTCCTTCCCGGGGGTGCGCCCCGGACTGTCACGGGCGTCTGTGGGTTCAGGGAGGCGAGGAGGGGAACAGGTGGCGGGATGGAAAAGACCTGCCATCTAGTCGTGGAATGACGAGGCGATAGTAAATGCGTGTTCCGTAATTAAAACCTGGGAAGCAAGATTTCACTGCCGGGCACCCGAGCGATTTCCTGTCACTGGGCGCGGCGGGGTGCGGGGCGGGGGGTGGCATTCAGGCAGCGCCACAGGTGCGGTCAATTGACGCTGGTGTGTGCCTGTTTCAATCTTCCAGCCACAAAAAGTACAGGGCCGCCCTGAAGAAGGCGAAACGAAAGAAACGTCGGCAGGAACTGGCTCGATTGAGGGACTCAGGTAACCGACTCCTCAGCCTGTTTTCTGTGTATGAAATTACTCTCTCCGCTCGCGTCCTAACTTAAAGCCTCAGTGCCAGAAGGAAGCCAAGTACTTATCTGCTGAAAAATTACAGCGGCTACTGCCTCCCAAGTAAAGTTATGTTAGACCCACTTCAGAAACGATATTAACGTACTAAAGAGGGGGGAAGAGGAAAAGGTCATGGTGAATCAACCACTGATTATGTGTAAGTATTTATGAAGTATCTGATATTACAGGTGCAGGCATCATGAATTACAGCAGCTAGCACAGCCCTTGCACATAGTAAGTATTCAGCGAGTCTTTTCCTTTGAAAAACCAGCAGGACTTGAGCGGTTTAGACATTTTGCAAATTTTTCTCAAACTTGAGTAACACAAGAGACCCGTTGTTGACTCAAATTATTATTAATGCCACTGAAGTATATATATAAGCATAAAGCCAGATATGAAACTCTTATTTGACTATAAAACAATATATGTACAAGATTATAAAACCAGGTGAAATTACACATCCAGTAAAATTCAAATCTGCGTTAATGTAATGTTAGGGATGATGTGAAACAAGCTTTCAGCATGAACATGGTACTGATTGGAGTTGGGAGTGCCACTCCTGTTGCACTGTAGTTATTTACCAGTTGTTGTTTTTTCCTGTTAAAATACTGTGGCACCTTCATCTGTACTGGCAATGGTGTCATTTGTCCTTCACATGGCAGAATCTAACAAATATATATTAAACCCGCCTGTTTAATACAGTGAAATTAGTACTAACTTGTAAAATTATATATTAGTTATAAATGCAGATGGAAGCACTGAAATCACACAGTAGTACTGCATTATAATGTTTGCCATCCAGATTATGCAGGCAAATCTTCATTTTTTTTTTTCTTTGACGTATACGTGACACATTAGTTTTAGGTATACATTGTAATGATATTTGTATACATCGCAAAAATGTATCTAGACGATTCTTGCAGTCCACAGGCAAGGGCCTCTAGTAACCAGTATTCTTTAGCCTTGTAAAACATAACTATAGACATTTTATTTACCCTTGGAGTTGCCTAGTAATTATTTTTAGTACCAATACTTGGAATATTTAGAATGGGAGGAGCAGGATGTTTACCTGTGGCCTGTGTTAGCATCTCTCTTTTATTTAAAACTGGACCACTAAAGGCAGGACAAAGCATCAGGGATAAAAGGAAAAAACAGGGTAGGTTGGAGTTATTGATGCCCTTGGTGTCTGTCTCCCCCCGCCCCCCCCCGCCCCCTTAGCGATCTTTGTTTATTTAACCTGTTTTCTTCCAATATAACTTTTTTTTTAACTTCTTAATCTTTTTTTCCCTCTTTTAAATCCTAGAGCTGTTGTTTTTATTGCATTGGATCCCCCCCCCCCCCCTTTGACTTCTCGAAGCGCTTTCAGAGTGAGCCTTTGTGGAGAGCCGGGTGGATCATGTTCTTCGGCAGTTTAGTCAGTTGAAGGATACAGTCACAGGTTTGGTCAGGATTATATAGCTAATGGCAGATCCAAGTCTAAGCATTTGTCTCTGGACTACTGCTCCTACTTTGGCCCATTCCAACTCCTAATTCTTAGTGGTGCTTCATGAATAGTGTGGCCTACCAAACACTGCTGTTCATTGCAGCACACATTGAATGGGCAAACAATACCCAGAAGGCTAGAATAGGGAGATGGTCTATAAGAACTGCTGTTAAGAGTGAATTGGAGGGCGCCTGGGTGGCTCAGTTGGTTAAGCGACTGCCTTCGGCTCAGGTCATGATCCTGGAGTCCCGGGATCGAGTCCCGCATCGGGCTC